CATTAAGAATATTTCTAAAATGGGATGTTGGTTCTACCACTTGTCTTCCACATGTATTAGTGGAAGGGCTATAGCACTGAAGTCCACAGAGATCTTTGTATGTAGGTTGATGCGTTTCGCAGGATGACCTGCTTCTTCAGGACCTCAGATCTCATAAATATAGGTACAGTAATTACTAAAATAATATAAACAAAATATATAACTTAACCACCCCCCCCCCCCCCCCCCCCCCCCCCCTAACATTCAAAATGATAGAGACACAATAACCCTCACTAAATAACATATCTAATCCCCAAGGAAGGAAGCAAGAGAGAAGAAAATAAAATATATATATATACACAGAAATAAGCATTCTATTAGTGAGTCAGTGAAGAACCTTGTCTTGGTATGTCTTGCTGGCCCATTTTGATGCTGTAGTGGAGGTTAACTTATGATACTTAATTAATGGCATAACTTTGTAATTTATTAGATGGGCAATAAGAAAGATTTATACACATATAAACTTTTTTAGATGAAGGATAGTCCCTATATCTTACTACCTGGATAGACTATCATTATAGATACAGTATATTTAATCCTGAAGTAGGTCTCCTACTAGCGATATAGGTATTCTCTATAAAAATATATATATATATATATATACATATATATATATATATATATATATATATATATATATATATATACACACACATAAATGCCCCTTTTTTTCTTTATAGTTGATCATATCTCCCTGGTGGTGGTCTGTTCATGGACTGGCAAGACATACTCACCAATAGAGAATGCTTATTTCTAAGTGCTATTGAACCCTGACTGTGCAGGGCATATATGGCACATATATGTATATAATTATTTTTTTCCTCTCTCTCTCTCTTTCTTCCTTCCTTTGGGATTAGACGTGTTGTTTAGTGAGGGTTTTTGTGTCTCTAACGTATGGAATGTTTGGTTGGTTTATATATTTTTAAATATTATTTTAGTGATTACTGTACCTATATTTCTGAGATCTGAGGTCCTGAGGAAGCAGGTCATCTTGCGAAACGTGTCAACCTACATACAAAGATCTCTGTGGACTTCAGTGCTACAGTCCCTCCACTATAAATGTGGAAGACAAGTGGTAGAACCAACGTCCCATTTTATAAATGTTCTTAATGAAACAATGTCCTTTTTAAATCACTGAAATAAAGATATGTAAAAAAAATGTTTTAGTAAATGTGTCATGTGCATATTTGACCATCGGAGAGGTATGTAAAGTCCTACCACTTTGTTTTTTCCTCTGTAATGTTTTTGATGGGGATGACACCCTCCAATGGCATAACCCACGAGTAGCACCACCTCCCTAGATACATATTGGTTTTTACACTTCTGATTTGCAGTATCTGTACAATCTCCTTTTGAATGACCAAAATCTATGTAGTGGTGGGGCCTTCCTAAGAAACCCAGAAAGGTAGACCCTTACATTACATCTCAATTAGTAGATTCAAACAAGATCGTACAATCAGATGGAAATCTGTATAGCTAATTTTAGGCTACAATCACACTTCTGGATTTTTCATATAGTGCATTCGTATGAATGTTGTAGTTGTAATGTGCTCACATAGGTCAGGGATAGATTTAGGGGGAGAGGTAATTGTTAGGGTTAGCAGTAATTCTTAGGGTTGAAACGCTAACGCTAACAACTACTGCTAACCCTAATGAGTACTGCAATTCCTAACCCTAATATGAGACTGACATAAAGGTTCCTGTACTACTTTGGTCACATAAAGCTTCCTGTACTACTTTGATGTGACTTTAATGCTACTTGAGTGCCAGAGAGTGTAAAGTTGCATCAAAGTCGCATCAAAGTTGCATTGCATGAACAGAACTGTCATACTTTTATATTAGCAAAAAAAAATGCATGTTCAAAAATGCAACCCGTGCCATAAAAAGGCATCAACCTCACCCTGCATACATATGAACCTAGCCTTAAGGTGCATTTTGCTAAAATCGCCATCCAACATGAAACAAGCAGGAATTTTTCTAACACACCACAATAAAGAGATGTGGCTATATCCTTAGTATCTTACACCATTAATCAGGATCAGGATTATGATGTCCCTAAACCTTACCACAAATATTGGTGAGGTCAGACATTTACCATCAGTAAGCACTGGAAAATTCTTGTACCCATAGCCTCTGGATTACATCACATCTACAACTTTCAAAAAGGTATCTATTATCACAATTAAGCTCCCAAAAGAAGTTAAAGTAAACCTTTCTGCCATTTTAAACATTAAGAAAATCCTTTTTAGTTCCTGAGGACCCCTTTAAAATATTGCATTTTAATACATGCTTTCCAATGCACTAAAACACGTGTCATGGTCAACCATAACAAAGATGGTGTCTTTTCCTATCTGAAGGCTACAACTGCAGTGCATTTTAGCGTGTTTTTTAGAAGTAAATGGTGGTGTATCAAAAAGCATACAACCTGCATTTAATACATTGGCAACAGGTATTAACAGGACTTGCAAAAAAAAAACCAAAATAGTTGCATGATTGTCCCGCACCATGGGACAAGTGGTTAATATGACAGCAAACAGGGCTTGTATCACACTGTATGATGTAAAAAATAATTTATTTATTAATGGCTAAAAAAATTTTTGCAGTATAGCAGAATGGAAATAACGTCAATAACCACAACATATACAGTACATGGACATACAAACAAAAAACAGGACTTGATCAATGGTTGTTAAAGAGGTTTTAAACCCAAAAACAAAAAAAGTAATGTATTGCAGCTTACAAATTATTAGATGTGGTGGCTGAATTAGCTTTCTTTTTTTTAGGCTTTTTTTTTCTCTGTTTTCACCTGGTGATCTGACCAGTAATGTCCCTCCTTTATTAGTGATACACAACTCTGGATGAATGAGCACAGGGGGCACAGCAGATAGCAGCATTGTCAGTCTTGGGCGGAGGGTAGTGTTAAGGCCTCAAGCACACAGGGTGTTTATGCAGCCCCTTTTAGGGGCATCTGATGGTTTTTTTTTTAATGCTTGTAAATGTTCCATGCACACATAGAATATTAGGAGCTTTTAGGGGCAGGAGTATTTACAGGCAGGAAAAAAAACCAGGGTCAGTGCTTTCAGGAGCAGCAGTGTTTAGACAGAAAAAACGCTTGACGCATGTAAATATGTCCAAACACGCTTAAACACAAGTTAACATTTTTTTTAGTGCTTGTAAATGGCCCTCCATTTTATCCTATGTGTCCATGCACACATGGACTTTTAGGAGCTTTTAGTGGCAGGAGCATTTACAGACAGGAGAAAAAAACCAGAGCCAGTGCATCCAGGAGCAGCAGCGTTTTGGGAGACAAAACACTTGACGTGCCTAAACGCATGTTAACACTAGGTGCATTTAGCGCTCAAGCTTTAACTCATTTCAATGGCCAGAATAAATTTTTATTCTAGCCAATTAAATGAGTTAACACCAAAGCGAGTGACACTTGTAAATGCGCCTAAACGCTTGTAAAAGCATTAGATATTTTTACAAGCGTCAGAAGTTTTTTCTTCAAAACGCTGCTGCCAGGAGGAATGCTTCTAGGAGAGTTTTTTTTTTAATGTCCTTTGTGCATAAGGCCTTAATGTATTAGCTGAATAAGTACACTAACAAATTGAAGTCAAGCTCCACCTCACACTTTATAATAAGTTATAGCAAACAGTTGTTTTCCTTTTAGAATACAGGTTTTACATGAATAAATAAAAGCTCATCATTGTAAGTACCCCTGCCAGTAGTAAGTGGTTTGTCATCTCTGTAAACTGATACATTTTGCAAGAGAGCTTGTTCTGTTCAAAACAACAGATGATCACCAAATGAAAATAGAAGAAAGCCTTAAAAAGAAAATGAATGGAGCAATTACATCTAAGAATTGGTAAGCTGCAATATCATACACATTTGCTTTTGGGTTTTATACTATTTTAACCCTATCCACTCCAAATTCTAATTTCGAAAGCAAACTGAAAATTTGCGTCAATGCCTGTTCACACACAAAGTAAACACGTTGATACATGAGAATGCACCATATAACATTGCTAAAAAAAATGCACCTCTATGCACACACATAAGATCTATTTGAGCCCCAAGTCATTGTTATTTAAGAATGTATTCTCTCACTGAGTTTACATTACCACTTGATTAATATTCTTGTGAGGTCCATCCTAAATTAGCTCCTTACATCCCAGGAAAATTGTCTATATGTGGGAGAGGTGGATTCCTCCTTATCACAAGACAAGGGAGCAGAATAAGCAAACTACAGTTTGGTCTAGAAAGCCCATTTAAACTGCAAACTATAAAAGGTTACTTGCTATATTCAAGCATTTCGAAAAGCAATTGTAAATAACACAGAGATATAATCCCTGAACTAGATCCAGAAGAAAAAATCTGCTGTAAATTGTGAGAATTTCATCAAGTGAATTGACCACTGGAAAACAGGAATATTGTAGCAAACACCTTTGTCATGCTCAGAGGTAAAATGAATCTCCATCAAAAATGTTGTAACTTAAATGACAGCAATACAGCAAATACGTTCCACCAGCTAACAGACCAATCAGAATGATGCGTCTCATGCTCCTGGACCAAAAATAGTCATAAATCTTCTCTACCTCAACAGAGGAGACAGTGTTACCATTTGATTAATTCCCTGTACCTGCAGATCTTCTATCTGAAAATTCACAAATGACTGCTTTATTCATTTTCAAGAAAATCATTTCTGACAACCATCCAAAGATAATGCATTTTGTCAAATCACTTGAGCTGTCACACAGATTGACTTGATTTCATTTTTATCACCATTTCAGTGTTCCGAAATACTAGGAATTACAGTAAGTTATAGCACACAGGTTATGTATAAGGAGACATTGCTACTATAATTTGTTTTTGTCATATATTACAGATGCGGTACTACTGTCATCTCAACAGAACTTCACAAACCATGATTATAGCATGAACTTAACAATCGATAGTTTGGTTTCATCTTTGTTAGCAAGGGTTGCACTAGGCAAGCCCAACACATACACTATATTGCCAAAAGTATTGGGACACCCCTCCAAATTATTGGATTCAGGTGTCCGTTTATGAACCAGCGGTAATAGATCGCTGTTCAGTTCTCTGGCATTCTCGGAGAACACAGTTCTCCCGTGAATGCAGTTTATGAAGCAGTTCTCTGAACGAAGGGAGAACGGTCTCCAAACACTGGAGAACGGTCTACAAACTCTGGAAAACGGCTGATTTTACTATAATCTCGCGAGATTACAGTAAAAGATCAGTTTACTAAAGCAGAGGTAAATTATCTCTGCTTAGTTTGCGGTCCCTCTGATTCTCCAGCTCTGGACTGGAGAATCTGGAGGGAGAACACAGATCTCCACTGAAGGGTTGACATGATCTCCTGAGTGTTATAAACTGTGAATGACCAGAGAATAGCTGAGATCCGTTGAATTGCAGCTATTCTCTGTGTCATAAAAGGACACCTTAGTTGTTCCAATCACCTCCATGGCCACAGGTGTATAAAATCAAGCACCTAGGCATGCAGACTGCTTCTATAAACATTTGTGAAAGAATGGGTTGCTCTCAGGGGCTCAGTGAGTTCAAGCATTGTACCGGGATATGTTGCCACCTGTGCAATAAGTCCATCCATGAAATTTCCTTGCTATTAAATATTCCACAGTCAACTGTTAGTGATATGATAACAAGATGGAACAAACTGGGAACAACAGCAACTCAGCCACGAAGTGGTAGGCCACGTAAAATGACAGAGTGGGGTCAGCGCATGCTGAAGTGCACAGTGAGCAGGAGTTGCCAACTGTCTGCAGAGTCAATAGCTAAAGACCTCCAAATTTCATGTCGTCTTTAGATTAACACAACAACAGTGCATAGAGAGGTTTCCATGGCTAAGCAGCTGCATCCAAGTGCACTGCAATGCGTCAGATGCAGTGGTGTAAAGCACACTGCCACTGGACTCTAGAGCAGTGGAGACGTGTTCTCTGGAGTGACAAATCATGCTTCTCTGTCTGGGAATCCAATGGACGTATCTGGGTTTGGCGGTTGCCTGGAGAAGGGTACTTGCCTGACTGCACTGTGCAAAGTGTAAAGTTTGGTGGAGGGGGGATTATGGTGTGGGGTTGTTTTTCAGGGGTTGGGCTTGGCCCCTTAGTTCCAGTGAAGGGAACTCTTAAGGCGTCAGCATACCAAGACATTGTGGACAATTTCATGCTCTCAACTTTGTGGGAACAGTTTGGGGATGACCCCTTCCTGTTCCAACATGACTGTGCACTAGTGCACAAAGCAAGGTCCACAAAGACACGGATGAGGAACTTGACTGGTCTGCACAGAGTCCTGACCTCAACCCGATAGAACACCTTTGGGATGAATTAGAGCGGAGACTACAAGCCAGGCCTTCTCATCCGACATCAGTACCTGACCTCACAAATACTCTTCTGGAAGAATGGTCAAACATTCCCATAGACACACTCCTAAACCTTGTGGAAAGCCTTCCCAGAAGAGATGAAGCTGTTATAGCTGCACAGGGTGGGCCAACTCAGTATTGAACCCTATGGACTAAAACTGGGATGCCATTAAAGTTCCTGTGTTGTGTAAAAAAAGGCAGGCAGGTGTCCCAATACATTGGCAATATAATGTACGTATGACCAACCCTCTCTCCGTTCATATTCAGTGGAATAGGTCTTAAAGAACAGCTTTGGCTAAAAATTGTTTAAATGATGAAAAAGTAAGCTTTTATAGTATGAAGATTTTAAAGGGGAACTCCATGTTGGGGAAAAAGTTACACTTGATGTGGGTCCCCTTCCATGCTCCAAGGGTTAAAATATTTGTAAACCTTTTTTTTTTTTTTTTTTTTTTTTTTTACAACAAGCATGTTATGCTTACCTGATCTGTGCCATGGTTTTGGACAGAACAGCCCTGACCCTCCTCTTCTCGGGTCCCCCACCAGAGCTCCTGGATCCTCCCCAAGCCGCTTGCTATGTCAGCTGTCATGCAGGCTTCCTCCTGAACTGGCTCTGTGTTTCCACTGACACACAGAGTGTCACTTGGCTCCACCCTCAGCTCCCTCCTCACTGGCTACGATAGACAGCAGCGAGAGCCTATGGTTGCTGCCTCTGAGCTAGTGAGGAAGGAGAGAGCCTCTGCTCTTGTGCACACTGCTGGATCAAGATCGGGCTCAGGCAAGTATAAAGGGGGGCTGAGGGGGAGCTGAGTGTTGACAGTTTTTTACCTTAACACAGTGAATGCATTAAGGTAAAAAACCTTCAGCCTTTACATCCACTTTCAATGCTTGTTTTTCAACTTTGGTGAATCTGGGTTCCCCTGTTAGTACTATGAACACAAGATGCAGTTTGCCCTGAATCAGCATCATGCATTGCCATGGTGCAGGTGGGCTGACCACTAGCACCATAACAATCAATAAGGTTCTATGGCCATTTCTATGGTGCTGGTGGCTGGCTCATCCACATCATGGTAACTCATGACGATGATGCAGGGCATGCAGGATCACCCTCAGCATTCAAGGATAGAAGTGTGCCTCTGTCCAGATCTTCAATGCCCCACCCCCCCGCCATGCTGCTGGAACTATAAGGTAGGGCTCTGAAGGGAAGAGAGGTCTCTCTAATGAGAGGCCTCTCTGATGAGGGAACTCTGTGAAGGGGGACTGATGTGACGGGGATCTTCATTGTGAAGGGGAACTTTGATTTGAATGGGGGGACTTTTGATGGGAAGTTAATATTCTGGGCGTTGTGTGTTCCAGGATCATGTTTCCCATGAATGGTTAACATTTTTGTTTTTTAGACTGGATTGCTTTGAGATTTTGCATATAGTTGCAGGGTGATGTAAGCGAAAAAAAATGTTAAGAAACACTGGTCTAGGGGATAGTGACTAAGGCATATTTCTTAGTAAATAAATTATTCCTCACTCCCCCAGCTATCAATGCGCTCCACTGCTGTCCAAAAACTCCCAGGATATTGGAGGGCGCCCTGTATTCTCACATACAACACAAAACCACTGCTCCTGCATTATACTTGGTAAAGTCAAAGAGTTGTGACCTTTCAAGAAATGAAAACAGCAGCTTTATGTGGCTAGTATTACAAAGAGGAGGAAGCTTGCAGTGGTAAAGAATAAAGTAAGTATTTAATTTTATTTGTCATCTCCCAGCATCATCCCAAGAATTTAAATCTTGCAGTGCAGGAGAAGACCCAATGCATGGTTAGCTTTTTCTCCAATCCAACTGTTCAGCTTTAATACAGATTATTACTGAGATTTCAAATAGAATGCCAAGTAGACATTTTGTTTTAGTTTCTTCTCAATTTCTGTCAATTTGACTACTGTCTCTGGGACATAAGGTAAAATCTCCCAAAAATAATATCTGAAAATCATTCCTCTATAAAAAGGCAGTGTCCTTAAAACCTAAAACTCACATTTCAGAGATGGTTCTCCAGAGAGGGGGGGGGGGGTGAGGCTAGTAGATGGAGTAATGGGGATTCACCCTCTCTACTCTCCTGTTTCTCCTAAAAATCCAAAATGTTGGATCTTCCTCATAGCAGTAATGGAGGGAAAATCTTCCAATGGGGACCCTGGTTCTGATCATAACCAGGGATTCCCTTATGTTAAGGGATTTCCTCTCACTTCCTCTTTCGGCTATGGGAAAATCTCCGCAATGGGACAAAGATGACTACACTGGACAGGGTTTATAACCCTTCCGTAGACTACATTCACACTGGCAATAATTGCCATGGTGAATTGTAGCAGCAGGAATCAGAGATTCCTACTGTGGCTCTTAGCAGCTAGGTGTGGCCACTGACCCCATTCACTGTAATGACAGCTGTTCTCAGGTGTCTTCACAGCAAGCAATTACACACATAATGTGTCCAGCAGTGATCACCACATGTAATCTCTGCCTATGCAGTAGCTATCCACTGAGGGATGCAGCAGGAATCTTTGATTTCTGATGCTACAATTACCACTGACCCTAAATGCCAGTGTGAATGCAGCCTTACTCTCTCCAAAATAAAAAAAAATTGCCTTTAGATCTACTTTAAGGAGAAACAATTTAGGTGTCACATTACTAAATATTTTTTATCCACAAGTTTGCTTTAAGAAACCCTACTTTATAACAGTTACATATTTACCTACAGTAACTAAGAATGACAGTTCTACAATGCCAACACAGTTTAATTAAGTTGAATTTTAACTGTTATTGGCTAATTCATGTAATTATGAAGGCATTTCAAAGCCGTAATTAATACTGAATGCAGCTGAAATTTTGTTGTGCTCACTAAACTAAAACTTTTTGTATTAAAACTCTAAATTAATAATTTCAGGAGCTTAATTTTCAAGTGTGATTCAGAGAAAAAAAAATAATAAACATACTTCTCATTATAATAATTTTCCTGTCACATACCCATTTCAAATTGCAATAAATTGCACATTAATGCATTTCTGTCTTTTCTGAGAGAGAAAGGGTTCAGATCTCGTTCTCAGAATATAAATAGGAATGTTTCATCATGTTGTGCTATTCAGAATAAAAGACAGTATTTTGCTACTCTCATAAGTGAATGAAAGGATGTTAATAAGAAGAAAACACAGCATAGTTCATAAAAGACTGCGCTATTTTATTATTTTTTTGTCAAGCTGACCTGCCAAGCTGCAGGGAACTTCTTCTGTTGTGTCTAAGCTTTTGCAACCCTTCTTCTATTTGTTGTATTTAATGTCTGTTAAAAAAGGTGGTATGTGAAAGTCAGTGAAGAATATGCAATGTTGTTATAGCGCAGATTGTCAGTCACATCTCCCTATAACACTGAAGGCACTACTGATTGGTTCCAGGGCTATGTGCTTTTAATCAAACCACAGAGTAACAACACAGTAACCAATAATTAATCAATGGTCAGTAATGTTTCATTCTTCGAAACACCATGTCACACTAGAGATCCTGTCACTGTTGACAACTCATCAGTGACCACATCACTAAAAATTACTGAGAAAATACTCAGCTGCTTTCATGCCTTGCTCCCTTGTTGGCTAGATGACATTTTGCTCAACTAGTCAGCAAGGGAACAGCACATGTAAAAATGTAAGTATTGTTCTAATCCATTTAGCCCTGAACAGCGATCCTTTCTTTGGCAAGTTCTCTGTGTCAGGATCACTAGTGTGACATGGCTTCATTAAGACTTTTTTGCATAGTTTTCAGACTTTTGCTGAGTATGTTGGGCCAGTTTTGACAAAGGCTCTTTCAACACACTGGTGGACTAAGGGCAAACATTCCTGGTTGGACTCCATCTCATTCTATCCCATATGGCTTGTTATTACCAAATCAAAGAACAGAGAAGGGTCACTATCAGCTTTGCATAAGTACAAATGGCATCATGCATGCTGAGACTTGACATTTACCATGTGCCATGTTCAAAAGAGGAAAATAATCTGACCCAGTGTTTTTTAAAGTGTATGTAACAATTGCAAAATTTAGCAGACTTCAGTTTCATATAGTACCCGCTGTAATTACAAGAGAGCACTCTTGCTGTTTTTGAGTGAGAAATTTACATTATTTCTTATTCTCAAAGGAGCCACCAAGAATGCTTGTATGAGTGACCAGGGTGTCAAGATCTAAGATCTGGTGACAGGAGTTTTTTTTACGGGACTAGAAATGGCTCCGGGTCTGGTGGGCCACCTTGCTCACATAGATAAAGCAGAAAATTGCATATTTACCTGCCGGTAATTTTCATTTCATGGTGCTAAAGCATGACAGCACATACACAAGGGTATAGGCTCTGCCCCCATCCCAATCACAGGACCAGTTATACTCTAAAATGAAACACC